TTGCACCATGTCCTTAATGTATCAGCACCACCATGGATCTTTGAGGCTATCAGCCACCTTCTTGAGACTTAATGACCACATGTAATATTAAATACATAGAAACTCAGAGCTGGTCCCTGGGGTTGCTCACACAACCATTTGGTGGTCAACCCCTCAGAATTGGTGTATCTTTTGAACCACTGATGACAATGATGGCCCATCAGGAGGGTTCTGCAATGGCTTTGGGGCTCTGTCTCATACCAGAGAACAGGCTGGGATGGAGAAAAAGAGGGAGGAAAGTGTTAGTCGCTCAGTCGTGTCTGACTCTTTGCCACCTCATGGACTGCAGTCTGCCAGGCTCCTCTGTCCATGGGATTTCCCAGGCAAGGGTACTGGAGTGGGTTGCCATTCCCTTCTCCAGGGGATCTTCCTGATCCAAGAACTGAGTCTGCCTCCCACATTGCAGGCAGATTCTTTACCATCTGAGCCCCCAGGGAAGCCTCAGACAGAGGAAGAGGGAGAAAGAAAGGAAAGAGAGAGAAGAGAGGATGGATAAGAAAAATGTGCTGCGGATCCCCTGGGGTCCAGTGGTTAGGACTCTGCACTTCCACAGCTGAGGGCTCGGGTTGGATCCCTGGTCTGGGAACCAAGATCCCACAAGCTGAGAGGCATGGACAAAAAGAGAAAAAGGAAAATGTGCTGGGCTGCAGCACCAGTGGGGAGCTGATAGGTGGTGATGAACGGTCAGAAGCCGTCATCTTGGGCCTCCGGGTGCTGTTCGTTTCCCCTTTGTCTGCCGAGGGCAGGCTCTGGTTTGCAGCTGAGACTGTCATAAGGAGACAGGATCCAGGGCTATGACAAAGCACGAAGGTGACATCAGTGGCATCCTCCCTGTCTAGAGTCTGCCAGCTTATCAAGGAGGAAGCCTATGATGCTTTATAAAATCAGATCAGTGGGAATTGAATGCCATTGTTGGCCTGGGGCACGGTACACAGCTTGCCCCTTTTCCCATGAATGGCTCTGTTGTACAAGCTTGCATGACTAGTCATCCGTTTGTCCTTCTCGCCCCCAATTCGGTCACATCTGTCCCTCTGAAACCATGTGTATGGCCTTAAAAGAAGCTTCACCTGTGAGTGATACAGTCAAGGTCACTCCAGGTGTTATTCTGATGCCCAGAAAGACAGAAGAGTGCGGCAGAGTGAAAGGCAGGGATTGAGTTAGGTTTATAGGGGGAACATGGCACAATTGAGCAGGCATCAAAGGACCCACTGAGAAGGGGGAAAGTGCCAGTGAGGATGGAAGAATTGATGGGGGGTGCGGATGGGAGGGCACAACTCATCAACATCGGTTATCCCATCCAAGGACATCCCATTCAAGTCAGCGCTTTTCAAATTCTGCTGAGTTTAATTATGCATTTTCTCAAAGGTGGATCCACCTAAAATTTCTTTAAAAACAGCAATCCATTGCAGTTTCAAAACATCCACAAACCATTTGACAGTGAGCTGGAGTTCCTGTCCTCCACGACTGCATCAGCCCAGGAGCTAAAACACCTGCTAGCTTTGAGTATCTTCATAGCAAGCAATCTGCTACCAAAGCTATGCGGAGCATGAAAATCAACGATGCTTAGATATGCAGGATTCAAGTCTGTGCCTTGGTTTTGATGCTTGTATCTATGTAATTATGAGTAAGCCATAATGTGCTTTTCAACATTCCTTTCCTGATCCCAAACTCAAAGGAATGTATGTTGAAAGAAAAGCAAAATGTATTTTGTGAAAGAACTTGGTAGGTAAGTGCTCCTTATGTTTTGACTGATGGATGGTATTTGCTCACCATAGATATGCTCACTGAAGAAATAATCCTGGGATGTATGACTATCACTCAGCTTCCTTCCTTTTTTTTTAACTCCTTGAAACACATTTAGGGTGCAAATTTTCAGTAATGGGAACTACTTAGCACAGTAATTGCCCATGAATATTTTGTGTTCAGATTAGAAAACCATTGACTTTTCTGCCAACTGATGTCCAGGTTTTTTTTTTTTTGGCCATGCCATACGGCATGTAAGATCTTAGTTTCTCAACCAGGGATTGAACCCATGCATCCCGAGTTGGAAGGGAGGAGTCTTAACCACTGGACCACCAGGGAGGCCCCCATGCCCAGATTTCTGGCGCCATAGAGACCTCTCACCCACAGCTTTCCCTCACCCCAACTTCACATGGATTGTGTGGTCTCCAGCACCCACAGGTAGTTAACCCTTGTATTCTTTTCTCCATGTTACTGGCAAGCCCCACCTTGAGGACCATTTCCTTGCAGGCACCTCTGCAGTCACTTCCACACCAGGGTCTAAGCTAAGGGTCTATCAGACGAGCTCCTCACCCAAATTACAATGCACTTATGCCCTTCCCCAAGGCCAGGGCGGTCCTGTCTTCCGGCGAACACCGGACACAGTGCCTGGCCCAGGCAGTAGATCCTCTAGAAACGCTGAACTAACAAGACCACTCTTATGCCTATGGATTTGGGACTTGTGACTATTTTAGCTGGTGATCAGCTACTGATCACATCCCATCTGATCACCTACAAACTAGCTGGTGTTCCCATCTCTGCTGCAGCACCATCCTACCAAGTTGCATGGAAACCATGAAGGTCGTACCTTACCATTCCTAGCACCGTTTTGACTTCAGGACAATGCTATGCAAATCTGCAACACAGACACTCCTGTGTTGGCACTCCAGTTTTACTCCAACAGCTTTCCTTGAGATGAAGCCGGGCGGGGAGGGAGGAGCGGGAGAGGTCGAGACCGCCCCTCCCCACCCTCACCTCTTAACCACCGTTTCCCACCTCCTTCTCTTGATGCATCCACTGGGAGGCTGAGGCAAGAGTGAGAGGGAGGACTCTTGTCTTGCTCAGGAAATACATTGTATTCACAGTACTATAGCAAGTGGGCAGACCAAGAGGAAGTGATGCTCTCAATGAAGAAGAGATCCAACCCTGCAGAGCGTGGTAGCAATGAGCAGCGGGTGGAGGCTCTAATGAGCAGTGGTTACCCCTGAGAGTGAAGAAAGAAGTGGCAAGGGAGTGGCCCAGCGGTTAAAACTCCACCCTTCCAGTGCAGGGGCCTTGGATTCCATCCCTGGTTGGAGAACTAAGATCCTGCATGGCTCAGGGCAACTAAGCCCGTGAGTCACAGCTACAGAGCCTGCAACTGATGAAGGTCACGCATCGCAATGAAGAGCACGCCCCGTTTGCTGCAGCCAGAGAAAACCCACACGCAACAAAAACCCGGCATTGCCAAAACTAAATAAAATGTGTTAAAAAGTTAACAACGTAGTTATTTCTAGATGTGGTGCAGGCTGGGATGGGTCAGTGATTTTTGGCTAGTGGGTAAGAAAAAGTCTTACCAGCAAAAGAAATCAAGCCTTTATGGTAGCATAGAGGCTTTTTTTTTTTTTTAAAGAGCTCAGTGAGTTACAAGGACAATTCTATGAATGACAAGTCTTGGGAGCTGGAATGCTCTGGTACCATACACCAGCTTTAAAAAAAAGAAATTCTAGAGATCACTTGAGTGAGCCTGGTTCAGCCAGGTTTTCAAGCACATTGATGTTAGTCCTAACCTATGCTAAACAGATAGATACTACATGCTTGTTCAGTTGCCCAATCATGTCCAACTCTTTGGGCCTGTAGCCTGCCAGGGTCCTCCGTCCGTGGGGTTTCCCAGGCAAGAATGCTGGAGTCGGTTGCCATGTCCTTCTCCAGGGGATCTTCCTGACCCAGGGATCAAACCTGTCTCTCCGGCACTGGCAGGCTGATTCTTTACCGCAGAGCTACCTGGGAAGCCCAGATAGATACTAACCTAAAGCCAATTCTCCTGGTCAAGGATTAGGACCTTTGTGCGCGTGTCTGCTCCGAGCACAGGGGAAGCGGGAAGACGCTGCTGGAGGCCTCTGTTCCCTCTGCTTGCAGCACAGGGCTGACAGACACAAGCCACAACCACAGGCAGGAGGTTAAAGAAACTTGTTATTAAATTTAATTTTCTTTAAATACATACCTCTTTCCCATCCTCACCCACTTGGGGGGAGGAACAGAAAGCCCCCGAGTCCCTCCATTTGGGGGATTCCATGTACAAAGCCTGAGATGGTGAGGATGAAGTATAAAAATACTATTTACAAAGCAAAAGAGGGTGTCTGTTGCGACCTTGACCTTCAGACAGCCCCTTACCTCCAGGCCCCTTTTTGCTCCTTTAGAAAAGATAAACAAACAAAAAACCAAACAAACCCTGGGGAATACACCTGGGTATAAAATAAGCCCTTCCTCTGGGAGGGGTGGGGAGGGGCGCTCAAACCCTATCGGAATAGGAAGCTCTGAGATCAACCGAGGAACAGTGAATGGATAAGCACCTCAGATGCTAGGAGCGGGCGGGGGCTGCCCCCCAACCCCCCGCTGTAGTCAGCAGGCCGGCCGGCCGGCCAGCCTTCGTTTCCGCAGGTCCTGTGTAAACACTGACTCCTCTCCCGCACGTCCACGCGCTTCCCGATTTCCTGCAGAGCCTCCCTGGCTTCCACTGGAGGCACCTGGTTCCTCCGTCTTTCCCGCCCTTGCCTTCTAGCCTTCCTCTGGAAGCGGTGGCGAGGAGATGGGGGGGGTCACAGGCGGGGCACTGCTCATCGCACCCCTTCTTCGAGGTCAGGGCAGCTCGTCCTCCTCGGGGAGACCCTCAAGGCAGGGTGAGCTGCAAGTTCTTGGCCAAACAGGAGTGGGTTTCTGTTCCCCAAGCAGGGACGATGCGGGCAGAGTCCGATCCCGGCCAGGCCAGGCCATCGACATTGGGTAGCAGGGAGGAAGGCTTCGGGAGGCGGAAGTGGGCGAGTCTGGTCTCACCCTGATGGTGGAAGACCAGCCGGGCATCCCCTCCCCTCTAGGTGACCAGGACCCTCACCACCCGCCAGTCTTGTTCACCGTGGATGCGAGGAAGGACCAGGCACCCACGAAGCTAGAGGTCTTCTACACGCCTGGGACGGAGGCAGCGCTCACACCAGCTCGTCCAGCAGGATCCCAATGCTCTGGGAGGCCTCGGAGGGGCCAGCGATGGGCTTGTTACACATGGGGCAGACACAGCGCACCTCCAGCCACTTCACCAGACACCTGCGGGCAAAAGCCGACCTGTTACTTCCTAAGAAGAAGATATCAGTGTGCTCCGGCTGCCCCTTCATAGAGCCCAGCTGCTTCTCCAGACAAGAATCTATCTCTGCCCTGGTCTAACCCTTCCAGCCTGCCTGTGTGCGGACAGGATGCAGGGCATCAGGAAGGGCAGGGACTGGAGCCTCTAGAAGACTGTTGTTATTGCTCCGTCTCCAAGTCATGTCCGACTCTGCAACCCCATGGACTGTGCCCCGCCAGGTTCCTCCGTCCATGGGATTTCCCAGGCAAGAATACTGGAGTGGGTTGCCACGTCCTTCTCCAGGGGACCTTCCTGAGCCCCAGGGATCAAACCTGAGTCTCCTGCCTGGCAGGCAGGTTCTTTACCACTGTGTCACCTGGGAAGCCGCCCTCTAGAAGATGCTCCCTGCTTATTTGGCTCCAAGGCACCTGGACACACAGTCCCATGTCGGACACTTACTTGCGGTGAAAGGCGTGTTGGCACGGGAGCACACCCAGCTCGTCCTTACCCCTGAAGTCTTCCAGGCAGACGGCACAGGTCTGCTGTGGGAAGAGAGAGCCGCGTGAAAGGAGCCGGGGAGCAGCCTCCCCGCCACTCCTGAATCACATCACCTCGTCTCCACCCAAGACAGAACTAACCCTGACACGTGGTAGCCACGATCCACGGCAGACCACTCCAGATGTAAACTGATCCAAGTAGATGAAATGAAACAGTTAGTTCCTTGGTCACGGCAGCCACATGCTCAACAACCACAGCGTGGCTAGTGGCTCCCATGCCAGATAATACAGATAAAAAGCATTTAATTGTTATTAATGTGTTAATTTCTGTTGTGCAGCAGAGTGACTCAGTTATACACGTTATTTTTCATATTCTTCTCCATTATGGTTTATTTTAGCAAACTGAATATAGTTCCAGATGCTACACAATACGACTTCATTGTTTATCCATCCTGCATATAGTAGTTTGCATTTGCTAATCCCAAACTCTCAATCCATCCCTCCCTACTCCCCTTCCCCCTGGCAACAAGTCTGTCCTCTATGTCTGAGTCTGTTTTTCTTTCGTAGATAAGTTCATTTGTGTCATATTTTACATTCCACATGTAAGTGTTATCACATGGTATTTATCTTTCTCTGTCTGACTTCACTTAGCATGATAATCTCAAGGTCCACCCATGTTACTGTAAATAGCATTATTTCATCCTTTTTTTTTTAAAGAGTCTTTCTAGCCTAGGACTTTCAACTAGGGAGCACTTATCCATAACTAGAGGTAAGGATGGGGGTCTCGCATATGGTTTCCATTCTTTAAAGCCAGCCTTGCATCCTAGTATATTAACCCCTCAATCCCAGCTGAATTTTCTCTTCTGGAGGAGCACTTAAGAAACATCAGAACTCGGGGACATCATGACCATGGGCCCCAAAGAAACGGATGAAATGAGGCCATGTCCAGGCTAGTCTTCTGTGTGATGGGACTGGTGATTCTTCCCACACCTGGACAACCACTCACATGCTCTCTGCATGAGTGCTTGTGGTTATGGACGGAAGTCTTGGGACATGAGTTAGGCGACCCCAAAGGCACAGGTGGGAAAGGAAGAAGAAATGGTGTAATCCTAAAAGAGTCGGGAGCTGAGGGGCCCCAGGAAGTGGGTGTGATGGGTGGGGGGGCGGGGGAGAATGGAGGGGAAAAGGGGAGAACTAGAGGGCTGGACCCGCAGGTCAGGTCCACAGTCGCCAGGCCAAAGCACACACAAAGGTGACCCCTTTAGGATCCAGACGGTGGGACTCAGCAGAGAAAGTTAGTGAAGTCTGGCCTAGGGCAGTGAGACTGCCCTCCCTGTTAAGAATACATCTAGCAGGCTTCCTGGGGTCACAGGTCGCCATGTACCCAAACCCTTTTGTGACCCCCTTTGTTTTCTGCCTGCACCAGTCCCAGACATAATGGATCCTGCACATTGATCACCTCCTGGTATGAATGTCTTCTATTTGGCCCAAAGAGACAATAAGGCAGGGACTAAGAAGGTTCCTAAAAAGGTCTTCAGACCTGGAGAAGGTTTGCCTTACCCGCTGGGCACCCCGCGAGCTGCCCCAGAGCACTCACCCCGTATAACTGCAGCTTCTTGGCATCTCCTTTAAGAACCACCTGGGAAAAAAGAGGGCAGACCTGGGGTTAGAAGAAACGAAACGTGGGGCTAGGTGGCATCAGCCGAGGAAGGGAACCCCCAGCCCTGTCCAGGGAGACCCTCACCCTCCCTAGGCCCAAGGGGAGAACAGGCCAGCTTCATCTTGCCCCCTTCCCCTTTCCCCGCACCTCCCCCGGCCATCTCTAGCTGAGCTGGTAGTGGTGGAGCGGGGAGAGGTCTCAGGACAAAACGAGCACTTTATTTACCTCTTTATATCCATATCGTTCGCTCTGTGCCTGGTTCCGGAGTTTGCTGGGGGAAGCAAGAAAGAGGGGAGAGAAGAAGTCATTATGTCTTTGCACAAACAGCCATTCAGAGCAGAAGTGACAGGCCGGCGGCTTGGGGCTTCCTTCTGGGGGTGGGGAGGCGCGACCCGTAGACAGAGTATGCCTCGACGCCTCTGCAGGTCACCAGCCTGGGGTAAGGACTCGGACTCTCAGGTTCAACTGCCTCAAAACTCACTGTCACCTCCCCTCGACTGGGGGTGTGGTTTCCAGCAGGGCACCCTAAAAGTTCATTCACCTTCCTTCCAGGCAGGTCACTTCCTTTGGGCTCCCCAACTAGACAGATCAACCATCTGCTTGCTGAGTGTGCAAAAGTTAGTTTTGTTTTTTGTTTTTTGGTCACACCACGTGGTTTGTGGGATCTGAGTTCCCTGACCAGGGACAAACCTGGCCCCTTCAGCGGCGAAAGCAAGGAGCCCTAACTACTGAACTTCCAGGGAAGTCCTGGAAGTTAGACATTCTTTAGAGGGCTATTTCCACCAAGCCCGGGCAGCAGGAGAACATCTGTTGAGCCTGGGGAATTTTCCACCCAGAGAACACAAGTATTCTGGAGGCAGAGCACACGCTTCCCCCTTTGCAGCAGCAGGGCAGCACAGGCAATCCCTTCTTTGTCTTTCTCCTTTTGTTTCAAGTTGGTGGCCTGCATACAGCCGGACTCTCAATGGCCAGAGAACAATGACCAGAGCACGCCATTACTAACGGCAGGAGCATAACCGTGATGGAGGATTTGCTGGGCGTCGATCTCTGTACCAATATAGCTCCATATCTGTGCTCATCAATTTCAAACACCTTCCAGAGGGAGAGACGTGCTTCTTGGCAGACAAGGAACACGGAGTCCAAAAAAGCTAAATAACTTGCCCAAACTTCAGAGCTGCCTGGCAGCAGATCCTGGATTCTAACCAAAGTCGATCTGATGACAGAGCCTGAGCTCTTTAACACAAACCGTGGCCAGCCTCACAGTCAGGTGGCACACACCATGCTCCTGGGCATAGGATGGGGTTTTGGGAAACACCCTTTCAATCAACAAGCCACCAACTTTCTGAATGGCTTACTGTGCCAATGGCCAAGACCGAGACGATGCACTGATTTTTTTTGCTGTTTTATTTTCAGTGAGAGAAACCTTCTGAACTGTGCAGGGAGCTCTATGTCCTCCTGTACCTGGGGACCAGATGGAGTTTTCTCTCCCAGGAATCATTTCTACCAAAGATTTGTGTTATTGGAAGAAGACATCAGAGAACCACTAGGTTAGGACAGGGGCGGCCAACCAGTCTCCTGAGAGTCAAAGCCAGCTAACCATTTGTTTCACAAGACCCAGAAGCGAAGAACTGTGCTTCCCTATATATATAATTTTATTATTTAATTTTTGGCTGCGCTCTGCTGCTGCTCGGGGGCTTTTACCTAGTTTCGGGAAAGCGGCGGCTACTCTTGGCTTTGATGCTCAGGCTTCTGTTGTGGAGCATTGGCTCTGGGTGCGCGGGCTTTGGCCACTGCAGCACGTGGATTCAGGAGTTGCGGCTCTCAGGCTCTAGAGCGCAGACTCAGCAGTTGCGGAGGATGGGCTTAGCTGCTCCACGGCACTTGGGAACTTCCTGGTTCGAGGATCAAACCCGTGTCTTCTGCATTGACAGCTGGAGTTCTTTACCACTGAGCCACCAGAGAAGCCCTGTCCTTTTTTTTTTTTTCCTAAAGTTTTAATTTTGTCATGGGGTATAGCAGATTAACACACAAAGGGTGTGACATGTTCAGGTGGACAGTGAAGGGACTTGGCCATACACATCCATGGATCCACTCTCCCCCAAACTCCCCTCCCATCCAGGCCGCCACATTAACACTGGGCAGAGTTCCCTGTCCTATATACTAGGTCCTTGTTGGTTACAGAACTCTGCTTACTCGTAAATGGCTGGAAGCAGGAATTGAAAGAATACTTCATGCCATGTGGAAATTATATGCAAATCAACTTTCAATGCCCATAAAATTTTACTGGAGCACAGCCACACTTATACTTTATGACTGCTTCTGCACAGAAGGGCTGGGTGGTTCAGACAGATATCGTATGACCCGCAAAGCCTGTAATATCTGGCATTTTATGAAAGGAAAAAAAAAAGGCTGGTCTGAGTTAGAGGAAGAGAATCTTCAATCACTAGCCTTAATTGAAAGGAGGGAGCAAGGTAAGATGCTCCAAGATGCTGGAACCAGAGCAAAGGAGGATGCAGAAAGCCTGGTGCACAGCCGGGGCAGGGAGAGGGTGGGGGGGGCAGATAAGATCTGGCGACCTCCACCTCCATGGCTCCTAACAGGAGGTCAGGGGACAGATGAGGCCAGTGTCCCTCTGCCTCGGGGCTGAGGACCAGGCAGTACAGCCGCTGCCTGCCCCCCGCCCCTTGCCTCGTCCCTCATCGGGGGTGGGGGTGGGGGGTTCTGGTCCTTGGAGGGATGGGCTGAGGGTCCAACCAGTGCTCCCACTGTTCCCCCCTTACCTGCACCACCTGCATCTGTGTCCCCACTTCCAAATGAGAGGGGCGGGGAAGGATGCACTCAAAATGAAGGATGCACTTAAATGATCAAGGGCCACCTGCCTGACACTGGGTTCATCTGGGGAAGAAACGTACTCTCGTTGCCAGGCTGCCCAGAGCTGCCTTCTGAGGGAGAGACTGCTGCTCTTTTAGCAAGTATGTACAGAGTAAATAAGGAAGTGGTGAGGAGCCTGTCGGCTTCCTGGTTCAGAGAGAGGGAATGTCACATCTCCGGAGCCTTGCCTACTTCGCCTGCAGCATGGCTACACTTACGCAGTACACGCAGTGCCTTTCTGCTTGCTCTGTCGTAGGACACCTGGGGGGCCCTTCTGTCTGGCTGGCTCCATTTAATGGTCTTACCCAAGGATTCTCCAGAAGCCTGACTCTGAGAGTCCAGGACCATCAATTCAAAGAGTGAAGGCTTCAGAGCCATGCTCTAGATTCACTCTGCCTGTAGATTTCCATATCAGGAAGGTAGAGGTTAGGATGAAATGGGGCCAAAAGGGTTGAAAGGAAAACGAAAGCAAAAAAGCAGAGATTCTGGGCCATCCCAGCGGGAATGGAGTGCCAACAACTCGGGACAGGTGGCCTTCTCAGCTGCTGGGGTGAGCAAAGCAGCTAAAAATACCCTGAATTCAATGAGCCCATTTCAAGCCGCTGCCAGTGGGCGCTTCCTGGCTTTTCCCCTTTTGCAACAAACAATGCGGGCAGGTCCTGCAAAGAATCGTTTCTTTCCTGCCTGATTTGTACTTCACGGGGCCCCTTCCATCCTGTGTAGGGCACAGATCAGCTCCTGGGGGCGGCTGGGGAAGACGGAGCCGGGGGAGCTGGGCCGATGAGCTCAGCAGGTCGGGAGCGGGGGTCACAGGCCTATTTTGGCTGAGGAGGAAACCGAGAAGCAGGCAGAGGAAGTGGCTTCTGTGCTTGTGTGTCTTTCTATATATAGGCGCTCCCAGGCTGCCACATACCAGCAAGGCTGGGGAGCCATGAGACGCCAGGGTCACACCGGCTTTGGGCTGCAGGACACAGGGCGGGGTGGCGAAGGGGCAGATGACTGCAGAAGGAAAACAGGCGGCGCCTAGCAGCCCTGTGGCGGGGGGGAAGCTTCTGGTATCATGTGGTCACCAACTCCAGCCAAAAAAAAAAAAAAAAAAAAAAACCCGCCATACCCAGAGCTCCCAGCCCATCCTTCTACAGCACCATGGTATCTGGCTGTGAGCGGGTGGCCACGGGAGCCCCAGATGATCCCGTTCAAGGAATAAGAATCTGGGAAGGCCAACATCCGGAATCCGGAAGACCCTCTGACTGTCATCGGACGAGCCCATCTCACCATCTTCCTGGATACAGGACTTCAGGCAGCTCTTTAACCGCCTGAGCACGAGTTACTTATTTATGAAGCAGACTAATAAAAGGTGGTCAGCACAGTGCCTGGCACACAAGGAATTCCTGGGCAAAGAGGAGCTTAAACCCCAAGATCACACGTATTAGTGGCAGAGCTAGGAAATTAAGTTGGGACTCCCACCTACTGGCTCAGTGATTTTGTGGAGTCTCCTCTCTTGACCACCTGTGCAGCCTGGCAGGGATGTGCATGTATGCATGCATGCGTATGCGTGTGCATGTGTGTGTGTGAGTGTGTGTGTGTGTGTGTAGGGGCCAGACACAGCCTGGTTTTACCGCCTCCTGCCAGCATTGCACATAAATCTTGGGTATGCCTCCATCCGTCTCCGGGGAGTTGCATACATTGCTTCATAGGCGGAGAGCGGGGTGGTTGTTGGTCAGGAAGATGAAAAGTTTTGAGGAAGAAAACTTCAGCTGGGGGAAAGGGGCGGGCGGGTGTGGAGGAGGGTGTTGAGATACCGGAAATCTACCCACACCCTCACTTACTAATGAGATGCAAATTTCAGACTCAGTGGTACAAGGAGGGGAAATAAACCACTACCTTCTCTGCAAAAAGCCTTGTAAGTGGAAAATTCCAGTCCCAGGGACTTTTTAAAGTCTGGAGGAAAAAAAGAGGGCTGAGGCAGTGGATGAGAAGCAAAGGAGAGCAGGGCCCCAGGGCACTTCCCCTTCTTAAGAAGGGGCTCCTCGGCCCGAGGAATCTGAACAAGCGTCTGCTGGCCCTCCAGCCTCACCACTCAAACCCACCAGGATATCTCCGCGGGGCATGGGAACTCCTTTAGCCCTCATCTTAATTTAACCTGTTTAGATGATCTGATGAGATACCAGACCCCAGCTGATGTCCATCTACCCAGGCGTTGGGTAATCATATGCTTGTGTGTGTGTCTATGTGTGGGCGTGTGGCTTGGTTTTATCACAATGGCTCTCAGGACCGTGACATTCTACTGGTCAGGGGTATACAATGTTCCCCAATACACAGGACAGACCCATACAATGGGGAATTGTTAATACCCACAGGGCTCCCTGGTTCAGAAAGACTACTGTATTTTCTACCCTGAATACCAGGCATGCCCTACATTTTTGATAGAAGATAGCCACCAAGTCCCTTGTCTAGAAGCAAAGAAAACAGTTCCTGGAGCTTGGCTCGCCCTGCTAAGCTCCAATCCTTCCCTGGACCCCCACACAATAAGAAGTGATGGTTTTCAGTTATTATTCTCTCAAATGTTAAGAGGCAGTACAAACAGGCAGCTCTGCAGACACCAGCTTGCTAATATTAGCATCTGGAAGGATGATAACAGGATTTCCCACGAGGGCAGAGGGTCATGCCATGGGTTGGAATGACGCCCTCTTAGCCCTGGCCACCCAGGGGGTGTGAGTGGGTGGAGAGAGATGGCGAAGGACCACTGATGATATTACTTGGTCATTCTAGGCAACATGAGAGGAACTGGCCAGCAGGCGGGATGCAGACTGATCCATGCTGACCTTGTATGCTCTGGAACAACTTGATAGGCTGATGGAAATAGCAACAGCAGGCCTCAGGGGCCCAGCAAACGGCAGGCTTAAGTCTTGTCCTCAAAGCGAGGAGCCCCAGCTGGAGGCTGGTGACTCGGCAACAGGAGGCTCACTCGGTTCACCCTACCTGTGGCCGCCGCCTCCTGGACATCCCCCTCCCCGGGACCCCAGGTCAGCCAGCGAGCCACCTACCTGATAAAATAGCAACAGAAGATGAGACTCAGCATGAAGACAAAGATGCCCGTGCCGAAGATGACCATGTAGATGTTGAGGGGAAGGTCTTGGAAACTGATGGGGGGCATGGAGCAGGACTTGTTGGTGCTCACCAGTCCCAGGCCACAGAAACACCCTGCGGAGAACAGGGGAGGGCAAGTGTTATGATAGTGGGAAATTTACTACCGAGGCTGATGGCACTCTGCGTGAGCAAGGATGCAGCGAGAAATGGCAAGCCTCTGACTCAGGGACTTACTTTTTTCTAATTGAAGCATAATTGATTTACAATGTTGTGTTCACTGCGGATGTTCAGCAAAGTGATTCAGATATCCATATACATACATGTATTCTTGTTCATATTCTTTTCCATGATGGCTTATTATAGAATATTGAATATAGAATATGACCTGTGCTATGCAGTAGGTCCTTGCTTTTTATTTTATACACAGTAGTTGGTATCTGTTAATCCCAAACTCTGAATTTACCCCTCCCTCATTCCCTTTCTCCTTCGGGAACTGTAAGCTTGTATTCTATGTTTCTACTTATCTGTGAATCTGTTTCTGTTTTGTAAACAAGTTTATCTGTGTCATATTTTAGATTCCACATATAAGTGATATTGTATGGTATCTGTCTTTCTCTGTCTGACTCACTTCACTTAGGATGATTATGTCTAGGTCCATCCATTGCTGCTAAGAGCATTATTTCATTCTTGTCTTTTTATGGCTGATTAGTTTTCCATGATTATACTGGATTGGCCAAAGAGTTCGCTTGGGTATTTCCTGAATGATTCAGGTTGATGTTCAGGTTGCTTCCACGTCCTGGCTACTGTCAATAGTGCTGTTATGAACGTTGGGATACAACTATCTTTCTGAATGAGTGGGTTTTTTTGGGGGGCGTTGGGGATAAATACCCAGAAGCAGGACTGCTAGATTATGTGGCAGTTCTACCTGGAGTATTTTAAAGAACCTCTTCACTGTTTTCCAGGACTTACATTTACACCCTCATTCTAACACTAGAATCTAAGACATGATCTTGGGTAAATGATTTAATCAATCTAGGAAACGGGATCCTACACATGGTACTTCAACCAGCACTCCCTTCTAGGGGATCAAGGAATCAGGCAATGGGTGGAAATGGAAAACTCACTTCCGTCTGGTAGAAGCCCCTAGGATGAACTAGCAAGACGGGGAGCCTCAGGTGAGGAAACATACATCTGGGCTCCAATCCCACCCCTCCCTAGCTATGCGACCTTTGAGAAATTACCTTGCTAAAAAGCTCCCCTTTGTCACAGGAAAACAAGCAAAGTGCAGAGGCCACCGAAGACTGTGGTGTAAGAAATATGCTTTGCAAATTGTAAAGCGAAGTTGCAAAGGTCATTTGTCATTATTAAGCCACCTGCTCCAGAAGCCAGGCTGCACCCAGACCAGAATAGAAATTGTTCACTCTGAGTCTGGGCCTGCGTTCCAGAATGGGGGGCGGGGGGGGGGGCGGCGAGCCGCAGCTCACTTTTCCTGGCTACCCTCCCCCTTGCTATTCAAAGCCTCACCAAGCGGTCTGCTAATGGCAGTGGCGTCCCCAGAGCATGCAGAACACAGAATCTCAGGCCAGCCTCCATCAAAGCGAATCAGAATCTACGTTTTAACAAGGTCCCTTCAGTGTGGCAAGCATGGGTGGCCACTAGAAGCTTCACTGACGTGACTCAGGAGTAAATCCTGATTGATTTGAAGGTGACAATCACCTTGCTTTTGCCAGGGCTTGGTGTTGGGGTAGGTATGTGACTGGACTTCCCTGGTGGCTCAGCGGTAAAGAATCCGCTTGCCAAAGAAGGAGATGGGGGTTCGATCCTTGGGTGGGGGAGATCCCCTGGAGAAGAGAGGGAAATGGCAACCCACTCCAGTATCCTTGCCTGGGAAACCCCATGGACAGGGGAGCCTGGCGGGCTGCAGTCCATGGGGTCACAGAGACTATGACAACACCAACAAAGGTACGTGATTAGGTGCTGGCTGAAGAAAAACAAAGAGAAGAACATCTGCTTTAAAGACAAGATTTTCCTTCTTTGGGTCACACCTCTCCAAAGCATTTGGAATGGTGGAAGCCAAGTTACAGCTGGTAAGAGGGAAGTTCAATATAAAGCTGGTGGCAGAGAAGACAAGGAAAGAGGAGGAATGAAAGATGCGGTCTGTCAAGTGGCTGGAAAAAATCAATCCTGGAGCTACTTCCTGGGACCATTGGTCCTGAGAGTTAGAAAATTGTCTAACATGGTTCTAAGGAGGGAAAAAGAAAAAGGAATTAACCACAGATCAGGTGAGTGGTTTTTCTTGCTAGCAGGCAAAAATATCAGTGACCTGACAGGTAAGCCCCAGGGTCTTGGATTTCAGAAAGCGTTGGGACAGGAAGGCTAGACTTCACCATACATGTGTTTGTGCACGCGTTTGTGTGTGTGCGCGCACTCATTCACTCAGTTGTATCCAACTCTGTGCGGCTCTATGGACTGTAGCCCATCAGGCTCCTCTGTCCATGGGATTCTCCAGGCAAGACTGCTGGAGTGGGTTCCCGTTTCCTTCTCCAGGGATCTTCCTGACTCAGGGATCGAATGTCTCTTGAGTTTCCTGCACCGGCAGGCAGATTCTTTACCGATGAGCCACCTAGGAAGCCCTTACACACGCTACCAGCCAAACACATCTCATGCTACCAACTGCACCTTTGTAATAACATCACCATGAAATGGACTCTCCCCACCCCCTCCACAGGGTTTGAAAAAGGAGTCAATCATTAAATAACGCCTATAGTCAAACAGCTAAGAAGGCCTGGCTTCAAAGACCTATGGGGACTTCCCTGGCAGTTGAGTGGTTAGCACTCTGCACTTTCACTGCTGAGGGCACAGGTTCAGTCCCTGGTGGGGGTGAGGGGGAGTGGGGAGGTGGGGACTAAGATCTCACAAGCCGTGGAGGGGCGGGCGGGGAGAGAGGGGAGGAGGACTCAGGCCTTCAATACGGGTTTCTGTGCTTTCCTGACATTGTGGTTAGGAGCCATTAATATACTTTGAAACGCTACACCGTAATTAGGGCTGCAACCCCAGCTCCGCAGAAGACTTGACTCGAAAGACCGGAGTCATCTCTGACCTCACACATCTCCACCCTCTTCATCCCTGAGATCAAGGTAGTGACCAATATAACAAGCCCCTTCCAGACCTCTTTCAGACTGTATGCCAGCTCGCCTGCCAAGTTTCTATTCCAAACACACTTGGAGCCCAGTTCTACTCCAAGTCCCTATTAATTGATGTCTAGTCCCTCCTCTAATTTAGCCCACATGTCTGGCATATCCTCCCACTCCGTTTTTCTACTATGATCTACCAAACTCAGGCTTCTAGTCCTCCCAAAGAGGAACGCGCTGGGTCCCCTCACTTCCTCCCCAACTCAGTATCCCCCAGCATCACCCAAGGTGAGCGAGTCTCCTCTCTATTTCTTGCTTCACCTGCCTCCAAACTTTTGCTCATGCAACTTTCTCGGCCTGAAACTCTCTCTCCCTTCCCAAAGTCCCACAAGGCTGGTCTTTGTGGTATTCCAGGACCCCCCACCCCCCCCCGCCAACCCCGGCTCGAATACTATAGCGCTCACAGCCTGTATCACGTGTTCGGTTCCAGCACAGTTGACTGTCTTAGGTTGCCCTATGATTCCTAGAATCAGCTTCATCTAACTCAAACACGCATTAAACACTGATTACACGACAAGTACCATGACAGACACTGAAGGAAAAGGAAGTAAAGACTAGATGATATTACAGTCTAGGGAAGAAGACAGACACAAAGATTTCCATCGTGGAAAGTGTGGCACATAGGTGTTTGACTGATGAGATGGTTGGATGGCATCATCGACTCAATGGATAAGAATCTGAGCAAACTCTGGGAGATAGTGATGGACAGGGAAGCCTGGCAGGCTGCAGTCCATGGCGTCGCAAAGAGTTGGACATGACTTAGCGACTGAACAATGACAACAACATACAATTCTGACATCAGAGACAGAGATTTCTAACGAGCCTGAGTACTCCTAGGTCTGAGGACAGCAACTTGAATTTTCGTCCTTGGTCTTTTTTCAGTGCCTACCCTCATGCTTGCTTTTTTTTCAGTAACTGGTTAACAGAGAAGTGATTCCTGATTTTTCTCAAGGCGACCTAGTCCTCTTGGCAAAAGATCCTGCTTCAAAGTATGGAGACCAAAGTTTGGGAAAATTGCCCAGAAACTGCCCTCAGCTGACAGGTGAGCAGTCAACCAACAAGTACTGCTTTCTGGCTTGATTTATACACTGATCTAGACATTGTGGGGAAACAAAAAGTAAAAGTAGTTTTTGTCCAGAGAGACTTCTGGGTTAAAGTTGGGAAAAAATTAATTAGCTACTAAACTTTACCAAACCCATGCTTCTTAGCCTCCAGCATGGGTTAGAAAGTTTTCACCACCTCTTCAGCCTCCGCTCAAATATTTGACCTCTGTGGGCCAACGGAGATTGATATTTCCGTGAAGACACCATGCTGGACTGGCCAGGCAGGAACAACTTTCTATCTACTCTGCAAAATGGTGTTTGGGATTGTCTTCCAGGTAACTGTCCTCCATGCCAAAGAGGCCTCTTCCCCACCAGGCACGTCTCCCCGCGCCCCGTTTCACCAACAGCTGATGCTGTAAGAGGCTAATCCTCCATCTGCCTTGACTCTCCATGTACCTTTTTTAATTTTTTTAAAAAGTCTTCACTGAATTTGTTACAGCACTGCTTTTATGTTTCGGTTTTTTGGCAGGGAGGGAAGTGGGATCTCAGTTCCTTGACCAGGGACTGAACTCGCACCCACTGCATTGGAAGCTGACCACTGGATCGCCAGGGAAGTTCCACCCTGTACCTTTCCTCAGCTGTATCCTGGCATCCATAGGGTCCCAAAGAACCTCATTTGGTTCCCTTGCATGGCAATAACCACAGACAACGCAGAGGGTTTGCATGTATGCACTCTGAAGGCACTCTGGCCTCAGCATTGTATCAGTTTATTTTGATCATCTGACCTTGCCGAGAGGTTTTCCCTGGGGCTCCAGGATTGAGTCAGAGAGTTGGGACTTTCTATGATAAAGAGGTGTGGGTGAGAAGGGCTTCATGGCTAAGAGGAGATGGTCCACTTGCTTGCCTTCTGATCAAAGAAGTAGACAAAAAATACACTGGGCTAAAAGCTGACAGTGGTGTAGCTTTTCCTGTTAACTTATAAGGAAAGAATTAACCCCAGGAATGACAGGCTCCAGATATTTATCACAAAGGTGTTTGGGGAGGGATTGCTTCTTCCCTGGAGTCAGAGAACAGTCCTTTCTTCATCACTTTAAGAAGTAAAAAGAAACACAACATTGTAAGTCAACTGTGTTGTTGTTTAGTCACTGAGTCATGTCCAACTCTTTTGCGACCCCATGGACTGTAGCCCGCCAGGCTCCTCTATCCATGGAATTCTCCAGGCAAGAATACTGGAGTGGGTTGCTATTTCCTTCTCCAGGAGATCTTTCTGATTCAGGGATCAAACACGTGTCTCCTGCACTAGCAGGGCCATTCTTTACAATTGAGTCACGTGGGAAACCCAAGTCAACTATAAATCAATACAAAATAAATACATGTTTTATAAAGTGGAAAGATGAAGCAGCAAGTGCTCTGCTGGTCTAAAAACCTATGAAAGGGGGCGGCCCAGAACCAGGGCTAGTGTTCACTGACAGCTAGCTACCTTGGTTCTTCTCCTGAAGTCTGTTCCATTGTTTCCCCCGACCTCTGAGAGCCTTGACATCAGAATGTCTCATCCCCCAGCTCGCCGGCTGGGAGCTGGAGTGACGTCAAGAGAAGGGCTGGCCAAGAACGACCAGGGGATCTGGGAAATGCTTCTCTTTCCCAGCCAACGGGAATCTTTCCCAGATGCGGGGGTTCACTGTCCTCCCCCACCCCCCGCCCCCACTCCAGCTATGCCTCCGATCACACACACAGCTTGGTTCATTTTCAGGAAATTAGATCCTACCAGCTAGAGGAAGAGGGGGATGGGAGCCCCTCAGACACACGCTGCCCAAACCCTGCCTTAAAACAAAAGCCTCTTGAAATAATTAATGCAAGATCTGGCAAGAGTCTGCTCTCAAGAATGGATTTCCCCCCCACCCCCCCCCACTAACTAGCCAGCCTACCCTACTCAGAGATAAGGCCAGCTGCTTCTTTCTCCCTGCCCCCGGCCCCTGCCCGCCCTTCCCCCCTTTCTCCAGAAACTCTCCAAGCTTTAGAACAAGGCAGTCAAGATCCCAGGGTGACTGGAGGGTATTAGCAGCCAAAGTTTTGAACTGACCCGCCTAGAAGGGCGTCTCTTCAGGTAGCCTGGACAAGGATTCAGCCCCAAGCCCAACCTGTAGTCAGGGAAACTGTTAAAAAGCCTAAATGTGAGATGCATTTAGCACCAGCCAGGCTGGGGAGGAAGAGGAGACTGGGTCCGGAGGCGCGGGCACCACCGAGGCACAGGAGCTGGTGCCGCGGTCTGGCCTTGGGGCCAGTGAGCACAGCTCCCCAGGCAAGCCCTGCATTCAAGGGGAGCCGGGCGCCAGGAGATCTACACGGCTTTATCAATCCAATAAAGGCACGCTCATTAATCCGGCGTCACCCCCGGGCACAAAGCCCCGCAGCAGCCGGTGCGAAGCCAACAAAGGCGCAGGGGAAGCCGCCCCCGCGCCCCGTCCTGCACGCTGCATTGTATACATATTTAAAATAGCCTGCGAAGTTTCAGACCAGGAACTTGAGCTCCCTCTAGGAGATCCGAGCCCGAGCGCGGATTTAATTCTCCGCCGACAACCACAACAAAGAACAAGAGTCGGAGCGCACAAAGGCGAGGAGGGAAGCGGGTATGAGTGCGGAGCCGCCACACAAAGGCCGGGAACCCCTCGGCTCCCACGACCCCCGCCCGCTCGAGAGATCCTTCTCGGCCCTGGAGTGAAACCTGGATTTTTTTTTTCCCCCTTTCAAATTCCGCGCTGTGCAGAGCAGAGCTGAACGCCAGGACGCCTCCTCGTCGGTCCCATTGAAGTAAAAACTTGGCTCGAGAGGGAGAAGGACCCCTCCGATCTGAAACCTGGCGCCCCCCTCTCCTTGGCTCCGGCCAGCCCCACGTCCCTTGCACCCCCGACCCCCGCAAGGCCCCGGACTCACCGTTACACCACTGGAATGGGTGCATCAATGAACTCTCGGCTGGCTTCCTCGGGCGAACGAAGGCAGGCGCGGGGCGGGCAGGCGGGGTGGGCTCGCCGGTCGGTGGGGTCGCAGGAGGGGCCGGTGCGGTGCGCGGGCGGCCGCCCTTCCGCTGCAAGTGGAACTCCCTCCGGAGCCGGGAGCTCCGCCGCGATGGGTTTTTGGAGCCACAAAGAGGAAAGAAGAGAAGAGACAGAAAAGTCTCCCGGCTCTAAGGACCGCGGAGGAAAGGCAGGAAGGGCCCGGGGGCTGGAGCGGGCTGCGGGGCGCCGGGTGGGCAGAGGAGGGGAAATAGCCCTAGGCAGAGGCGCGCCCCGGACGCCGCCGCACGGAGGTGAGACGCCAGGGACTCCGAAACTGACACGGTGCACGCACACCCCCTCCCTTATACCGCGCCCGCCCCACCCCGTCACCCGCCCTCAGCCAATGGGAGCCTTCCTCCGGCCCCCGGCATTGCTTGCAGACCCGCCCCATCCGAGTGTGGGGAGCATCCTTGAGGCTTGGGCGCCTCCTCTTCACCTGCAGTTCAAAGACGGTCTGGCCGCGCGCTGGCCTGAGCTTCCCGGAGCCAGCCTCCTCCGCTCGTGACCTGGAGAAAACTGAACAATTAGTGCCACATTGTTTTCGTCCTCCAGATCGGTTACTATTTAGCATTTCTCTAGCTCTTTAAGAAAGCCAGTTCGAGGGAGTGGTTCCATTTCTGTACAGAGGGCAAGACGTCGTGGTCTTAGGTGGCGGGCTCTCACGTTTCTTTGCTCACTCTAAAAGAGGGAGCATTGCAGCTCGAGATTGTCCTACCAAGTGAAGTGGGAAAGACAAATATCATACCATATCCCTTATATACAGACTGTAAAAACAAAACAAAACAAATGAACTTATTTATAAAACAGACTCACAAAGTTATGCTTACCAAAAGGAAAACGGGGGAGGGAAGGATAAATTATAATTTGGGGATGAACAGAAACATGCTACTATACATGAAATAGATAAACAAGGACATGTATAGCACAAGGAACTATATTCACTATCTTGTAATAACCTACGATGGAAAAAAATCTGAAAAAGAATATATGTACACAAATATATTTGAATCACTTGGCTGAACATCCGAAAGTAACACAACATTGTAAATCAACTGTACTCCAATAAAATCATTAAGTAAATTAGTAATAAAGTTGCTGAATAAAATTCCACTATATGAACGCAACACAACTTCTTCGTTCACCTGGCGTTGGACGTTTGAGTTATTTCCAGCTTGGGACTATTAAAAATAAAGCTTTTGAGAACAAAATAAACAAAAAGCGAAAAGGGGACTGAAGCCAAGATTTAAAGCAGGTGAATTGTGAAGAGGAGATCTGAAAAGTGCTTTAGTTGTCATCTTATCCCTCCGCCCACCCCACCCTCCCGAATCAGTTTAAGCTTAAGGTAGACTCTTCAGGGCTCTAGGCTCCTGAATAGCAGAATCAAACCCAGACACCGACATTGGCAGTATCATAAGGGCAGCATCTTCAGCATTTATCACTGCACAGGTATTGAATTAATAGTAGCTAGAAGAAAGACTGAATCTCTTAATTCCCTGTCCAATGTGATGGGTTTTTTTTTACCAGACATTCCATCATTTCTTTCTGTTTCTCTCTCATTCTTTCCCTTCCTGCCTGCCTTTCTTTTCCTCCCTCCCTCCCTTTTTCCTTCCTTCCTTTTTTTTCCTTTCTTTCCTTCCTTCCCTCCCCGTCTCTCCCCTCATTTCTCTCTTGCTCTGCCTCCTTTTCCCTTACTTTGTCTTTCTATCTTTCATTTACTCAGAATATATTAATCAAGAGCCTACTCTGGGACAAGCACTGTTTAACTGGAGAGCCATTAATGAATGTCCTCAAGCCTGTTCTCCTGGAATTTACATTGCATAAGAAGATAAACAGTAAGCAAACAGAAACAGAAAGTCGCATAGTCGTGTCTGGCTCTTTGCGATCCCATGGGTTATAGCCCGCCAGGCTCCTCTGTCCATGGAATTCTCCAGGCAAGAGTCCTGGAGTGGGTTGCCATTTCCTTCTCCAGGGGATCTTCCTGATCCAGGGATCGAACCCAGGTCTCCTGCATTGCAGGCAGATTCTTTACCAACTGAGCTACTATGGAAGCCCCTATAAACAGTAAGCAAGCAAGGAAACAAATAAGAATGACTCAATTTTATCTTCCTATTCAACTTAATGTCCCATTGGAAGGTGAAAAATACTTTCCCTGACTCTTGAGAGTTTGTAACACTTAAATAAGACATGCAGATGAGTCCTCTGCCATTTAATAGCATGATGGTTACGCTATCAAAGGATCTGACCAAGCTCACTTAGCAGTCTGCAAAAATAGGTTAGCACTTACTAGGTTAGCAGTTGTCTGAAAACGATCTTTTTCTTTCTGAGCTACTCTGGAAGGGCATCATGTACAGATCCAACTGATTTCATCTCCTAATTGGACACCTACAAAAACTTCCTAATTGGTCTCAGTCTACAAACATGAACTTGCATGCTCTGTTGTGTCCGACCCTTTGTGGCCCCAGGGACTATAGCCTGCCAACCTTCTCTGTCCATGGGATTTCCCAGGCAAGAATACTGGAGTGGGTTGCCATTTCTTTCTCCATCTTGGCACAGTGCAGAGGATTTAAAAAGACAAAACAGTTGTGTTGTTACTTGCCCAATAGTTCTGTTTAATGGTTCAGGTGAAAGGTGTTGATAGGTGAGCTGATGGATTGAGGAATTCTGCTGGGTGCCTCTAGGGCACACCTGTGAATGGCAAGCCTTTGAAGGGGAAACCGACTGGAAATAAGGAATACCTCTTCCCTTCCTTAAGGCTAAGGAACCCAGGTGAGAAAACAGGATTCTCGCTAGACCCTCCAGAAAGGAAGGCAGCCCATCTGACACCCTGATGTTAGCCCAAGGAAACCTGTGTCAGTTTTCTGACCTACAGAGCTGTAATATAATAAAGTGAAAGTGAAAATTGCTCAGTCATGTCTGACTCTTTGCCACCCCATGGACTATACAGTCCATGAAATTCTCCAGGCCAGAATACTGGAGTGGGTAGCCTTTCCTTTCTCCAGGGAATCTTCCCAACCCAGGGATCGAACCCAGGTCTCCCGCACTGAAGGCAGATTCTTTACCAGCTGAGCCACAAGGGAAGCCCATAATGTAATAAATCTGTTGTTTAAAAAAAAAAAAAAATCTACCTTCCAATGCAGGGGATGTGGGTTTGATCTCTGGTTGGGGAACTTTCCTGGATGCTCAGATGGTAAAGTGTCTGCCTACAATGCGGGAGACTCAGGTTCAATCCCTGAGTTGGGAAGATCCCCTGGAAAAGGAAATGGCAACCCACTCCAGTATTTCTGCCTGAGAAAACCCATGGAGGGAGGAGCCTGGTAGGCTACAGTCCATGGGGTCACAAAGAGTAGGACAGGGCTAAGCGACTTCACTTTCACTTTCACTTTGGGGAATTAAGATCCCACATGCCACTGGGCAACTAAGCCTACAAGCCACAATGAGAGATTCCCACAACTAAGGCCTGATGCAGCCAGAAGAAATAAATTAATTAATAACTAATTAAATAAATTAATTAGTAAAGATTATTAGTTAATAATAAATAAATTAAAATGATTAATTTTAAAACCGTTGGTTTCTTTTTTATTAATTGGAGGCTAATTACTTTACAATATTGTAGTGGTTTTTGTCATACATTGACATGAATCGGCCATGGATTTACATGTATTCCCCATCCCAATCCCCCCTCCCACCTCCCTCTCCACCCGATCTCTCTGGGTCTTCCCAATGCACCAGGCCTGAGCACTTGTCTCATGCATCCAACCTGGGCTGGCGATCTGTTTCACCCTAGATAATATACATGTTTCGATGCTGTTCTCTCGAAACATCCCACCCTCACCTTCTCCCACAGAGTCCAAAAGTCTGTTCTGTATATCTGTGTCTTTTTTTCTGTTTTGCATATAGGGTTATCATTACCATCTTTCTAAATTCCATATATATGTGTTAGTATACTGTAATGGTCTTTATCTTTCTGGCTTACTTCACTCTGTATAATGGGCTCCAGTTTCATCCATCTCATTAGAACTGATTCAAATGAATTCTTTTTAATGGCTGAGTAATACTCCATGGTGTATATGTACCGTTGATTTCTGCAAATCAAAACCACAATGAGGTACCATCTCATGCCAGTCAGAATGGCTGTCATCAAAAAGTGTACAAGCAATAAGTGCTGGAGAGGGTGTGGAGAAAAGGGAACCCTCTTATACTGTTGATGGGAATTCAAACTAGTACAGCGACCATGGAGAAAAGTGTGGAGTTCTTAAAAAACTGGAAATAGAACTGCCGTACAACCCAGCAATCCCACTGCTGGGCATACACACTGAGGAAACCAGATCTGAAAGAGACACGTGCACCCCAGTGTTCATCGCAGCACTGGAGACTGGAGACGGAGCATCGGGAGACGAATGCATGAGGAAGTTGTGGTACATATACACAAGGAAATATTACTCAGCTACAAAAAAGAATGCATTTGAGTCAGTTCTAATGAGGAGGATGAAACTGGAGCCTCATACAAAGTGAAGTAAGTCATAAAGAGAAACACGAATACAGTATATTAACACACACACACACACACACACACACACACACACACACACATATATATATATATGTAATTTAGAAAGATGGTAACGATGGCCCTATATGCAAGACAGCAAAAGAGACCCAGGTATGAAAACCAGACTTTTGGACTCTGTGGGAGAAGGCAAGGGTGGGATGATTTGAGAGAATAGCATTGAAACATGTATATTACCATACGTAAAATAGATGACCAGTGCAAATTCAGTGCATGAAGCAGGACATTTAAAGCCGGTGCCCTGGGACAACCCAGAGGGATGGGGTGGGGAGGGAAGTGGGAGGGAGTTCAGGATGGGGGGGACACATGTACACCTGTGGCTGACTCATGTCGATG